GACTGGGTCCATGTCTACGAGTTTGTTCCGTCCAGCAGAGACAACACAACGCACGTCTACTACTTCGACGAGAACTTCGAACGACCGAGGGACGACTTACACTCCTACAACCAAGAGCGAACTTACGTCAAAACGTTGTCACTAACTCCCGATAAAGATATAGAAGATACCGGCGTTGTGCTGTTAGAAGGACTTTCTCGGGTTAGTTGCGGTTGATTCTATAACGTCTTGATTATTTACTACCGCTAGAGCTGTATAAATGCTTATTGGAGACCATATTTTGCATGCATTTGTTGATTACAGTAGGAAGTCAATCATGAAAACACAGAAGTAAATTCGATGTGTTTATTGTATACATGTATACATGCCCAGCATCGCCTACTTTGTAAAAATAACGCTGTATACATATATATATATAGAAAAACCTCTCTTCCGACGCAACTATTATGATAAGGAAACTGTACACGTGCGGGATATTATCCATATATATATTTATATATTTATATGTACTCGAACTTGAAAGTATTCGCGCTATAGCAGTCATGTCTAAATCACTTTGAAATGATTTATTTTTCAAACACCTTTTGTATGATTGTGGGTGTACAAAGCACTTCATCTTACTTTGTACGTAACAAACGGCTGCGAACAGTATGATATAGCCTGTGCATGCATATTGATAATTATGGCAAATGCCGAGAGGACAGTGACTGTTCGATAGTCATCAGACTGAACACGACAGTAATCTAAATATACTACAAAATATATAGAAACGCAAAGTCTTTCCACGAAATTTTAAAAACACTACTGTGGATGAAACATATTTTCTGTCAGAAATGTCAGAATCTAGCGCAGCCGCTGAAAGGTTCCCAGAACGGCCTTACACTGCGGACACGAGTGTCTGACGTCCTTCACAGACTTCACACAGCACGGCACAAAACACAGGGCCAGCCAGAACCTGACAACAGGGAAGAGAAGATACATGATGGGTTTTGCCAACACGTTCATTCTATACGTGTTTTGTCACTTAGTTATTTTGCCGTGCGGCACACCGCTATATAATATTAATCATATTACGTTCTCAGGTCATATAGCTATATAGTTACTGCACTAACCCGTTTTTGCTGTGATACTTTTTGAGCTAGTTTTTTTTCATAATATTTTCCGCCGGACGTCGTAGTGCACTGGATATCAGACAAATCCTGACTGCCTATCACAATTTGCAATTGAAGCAATGATTTCATGGCGATATTAGCGTTCGACCAATAAGAGAGTGGCTTTAAAAGAATGTTTCTATCATTACAGTCCTACGTTTGACGAAGGTGGGCGGGGCTATAAGTACATGATTCGCTGGGCCTTGTAATATTGTACCGCGATTCTCCGATAACGTGGGATCCTGTTCTCTCTCCAGGTTCAGTGTAATAACCAATATAAGAGCACAGTAACAAGCAAAACGTACGAGAACTTACCCGAACACACAGAGAAACAGAACAGAGACCCAGAAGAGTTGTCCCTTGACGTACTCCGTCTTGGTCAGGACCTGCTGGTGACAGCTGGGACACTCCATACCCACCGGGTACTTACTGAGGACAGGTGCCGGCGGCAGGTAGCACACGGGCTGGGGGCCAGCCACAATCACGGTGGTGTGCTGCGGATCTGATAAAAACGGAACGGGACTGCCTCGTTGTTAACATGTTCTATTTAATAGGGAGAAAATAATACACAATCTCTCAGTCTATCTTGTCTAACTTACTGCGTTTTCACGCGGTGCATAAAGAAAGACGAAGAAATATATACCTGATGACTGACCTACTGGCTGCTGTGTAACTCCACCATAGTACTGATAGGTGTTCCCGGTGCTGGGATAGTTAGGTGGCTGCTGACTGGAAGGTGCTGCTCCCTGATCATCAGAGTATGGAGGGGGAGGAACGTGCCCATTGCCCTCCGCCTGGTCCAGTAGTCCTGCCTTTTCTGTAGCCATACCTGTGTTAAAAATACTTCTTCCCTTACCAGACGTTTAGCCATTTTTTCCCTAAAATCATACCAAACTCTGTTTCGTTTTGTTTAACCGGTCCGTGAAAGATCTGACCAAGCCGGCCTGAGAATAAGTATTATCGCTACATATCCGGCCCTATGAGAGAAAAGCTAAAGGCAAATATCAAAAGGAATGTTTGTACATAGCATTACACCAGGGAGTGTGTGTCACGTCGGTTTGATCGAGCGAACCAGAAATTTCAGTTCTGTAGATTTCGGATGAGAAAAGCAAAAAATTGGACATAGGCATAGCTTACCTGCCACTCGGAATTTACTTTTCTACCTGTTCTGCCAGAATTCACTTTTGACTTCTACGCCTGCTAATTTACCTGGATATTTTGTTGCTCACCGATGACCTATGTCAAGACAGTCCTTTTAGTCTAGCGAGGTGAACTACGCAAATGTTTACATGGTTGACAATCCAGCTTTCAAGTGGACAGAAGTCCACAAAAGATTATACTAGTAGCTAGTTACGCTCACCAATATACTAGTTTATCACTTATACGTACACTCTACTATTACGGACTTCTCTTGTTGGTTTCCTCCCACCCGTGATGTGACTCTATGGTACGGACCAGCATACACACACCTTCCAGGCTTCCAACAGGTTAGTCTGTCAGTCTGACATTGGTCATGTGACATATCACATGCTGACTCGCGACTCTTGGTCATGCCTAAATTTAGAAACAAGCAAATTAAGCATTGTGACTTACTTTAGGTAGGACCACGGTTAAGTCTAAATCTGTGCTACGTACCCACATTCCCCAAATCATGAACATCTGTTGTTCCTCTCTTGAGAGCTTTCCTGTCCGAAAGATTTTACCAAGAATGCCCCTGTAGCTCCAAAACAAGCAACTAGGGGGCCCAAACTTACACCACTTTTTCCTGACTTGAAAACATAAAAAGCAAACTGACACTTAAATATCGCAACCGTAGTATGTTCAGGACAAAAGATACAAAAACCAGACGTTCTGCTGCAGTTCCAAGGACAGCCACTAGGAGGACCTTGACCTTCATCCAACCTCCCAAGACCTGCATGCATACCAAGTATCATCAAATCCATTCATGTTGACCACCAATTTGTCAGAAACACAGACACAAACACACACAGACAAAAAAAATTGCCTCTATTTTTCATTTCCTAAAGCAAGTTTTTTTGGCCTTGCCATATACATGTTAAACCTCCTAGTATTGAAGATGAAAATAGACTGATAATGACAATGTCATGTACAAATTAACATAGAATATTTTATGGTATGCACTTTTTGCATTTACACAAGCCCACATTTTCACATTGAGTAGTACTAGTTCTACCTACTATTCTCAAAATGCTGTATGGTGGCAAGTATCATGCATGACATGGGCAAAACCATGTCTGGTTCTTCCAATAGACAGTTACAATGACAGATAAGGTTAATGTATACTGAACAGTCTATGTAATACATAAATGTAGCCATATCCATTAATAATGAAATGTTAGACTATATTTTTGTTATGATCATACTGAATTGTCTGAACTTACACACATGGCACCAATATGAATGTTATTTGCATGTCATTACAGTAAGCTTTTGCAAAATAAGTGCAGAACAGAGTAGAAGTTTTAATGACTTGCACAAATTGTATCTTAAAGTTTGAACATGGTTCTTTTTCAATCTCCTTAAACAAATGTCTCTTGGATTAAAGCACGTCATCAATGATATATAACAAAACTAAATTATTTCCCTGTTCAGAGCTGTTCCTCTCTTTATTTAATACAATGTATGTCACCTGAGTAATTTTTCATATCCAAACAAGATGGATGGATCATTACACAATGGCACATCAGTTTGAGTTGCTTCCCAACTTGTGATCAGAGCTGACTTGGCCTGGTGCCACCACGGTTGGTTCAGACTAGGTTTCCCTGACTGACTTACGAGTCCTAGCCTCCACCAGGCCTTTCGAAAGGGTTAATGATAGTAGAATTCAGCTGAAATAGGTCAGGAGAATTGACCACGACAAGGGAAACATTTTCCCTGCTAGAAAATGTTAAGGCCAAACTCCCCTGGCAAATTATTTTCCCTATTTGGCTGAATTTTACTACCGGTAATTTTCGTCCCCCGTTGTTAGTGTGGTGGAGACTAGGCTTACCCTGGATGGTGGGGAGTGGACTGAAGCAAACCTAACTGTCAAACCTGTACAAGTGACCATCTCTATACATAAGGACCGCCTGGAATCTGACCACTTTTTGGTGGTGCCTTAGATAATTTTCCACATTGACACAAGAATACTGTCTGTAATGTGCCCATACAGTGTAGACATCGGTCCCCTGAGTGGTCTTCTTGGGCAGGTTTGACCGTATAAGTAGCATCCAAACTAGTGTTTCAAGAAAAGACAACATCATATGAAATACCAGTAAATGCGCAGTCTGCGCTCGATCCTTGGAGTTCGTTGGCAGGATAAGGTGTCTAACCTTGAGATTCTTGACAGAGCGGAAACCATCAGTATTGAAGCTCTCATACTCAAAGCCCAACTGCGGTGGACAGGACATGTCATCCGTATGGATGACACTAGGATCCCTAAACAACTTTTGTACGGCGAGCTTTGCCAGGGGAAAAGAAAGAGGGGTAGGCCTCAGAAACGTTTCAAAGACAGTATCAAGGAGAACATCAAATATGCTGACATACCCCCTAAACAACTCGAGAAACAAGCACAGGACCGCTGTGGCTGGCGCACGCTGACCAAGCTCGCGCAGGAGAACTTTGAAAAGACACGTCGTAAAAATATTGTTGAGGCTAGACAGAGACGCAAAGCAGCGGCAGCAGCAGCAGTGACCAGGGAGCAGAGTCCGTTCCAGTTCACCTGCGAGCAGTGCGGACGACCCTGCAGATCCAGAATTGGACTCCTGAGCCACTTGCGGGTGCATAAAAGATGAGAAGAGGACGCAACGTAGAAGTCATCATCGGCAACGATGGACAACCACGAAATGTCTTACACGAGAATTAGAGCAGTAACATTCTCAATTTCAGTGTTTACACATAAAATTGCAAGACAAGCAAATGAAGGAGGCTCTATGTACATATCAAGCAAAGGTCAGATGCAGGGATGTTACATGTATGAAATCACCATACAGCAAGGATTAGCTTTGTGACATAGTTCCTGATTATCATACATCAGTTATACTAGAACAACAACATTTTAGCTGAACAGTAAATAATAACCAACACATAATGGTCACATACAATATTAAACATAGAGGACTCTACCCTTCATAATCCATTGATGTTATCTCACAGCTTATGAATCTAACACCTCATTAGATATGCTGGACTAAATTAGGTGTTCACATCTAAGTGCTGGAGTTGTACATTACTACAGGACTCATTCCACAGTCTCTGCACATTGGTGATATGTGAATCAAACAAAAATAACAACCCTGGTCTGCATGGATGCCTTTACAAAACACAGGGTAGACAATAGTACATGTATACATAATTTTTTTTCTATCTTGCACACTGGTTTCAGTTTGAGGCTCTTTGAGACTTTTTGTGCCCTGTACCTTATACTTATAGTTGCACAGTGGGTGTGTCATACATAAACCATTGGCTGAGAACTATACAATGAAGCAATAAATTGTTTTCTTGTTCAGTTTTATTCCGCTTCATGGTCAGAGTGCCAATTCTCAGCACTTTTGTGATGTATCAGATCTTTTTAATGGAAACAATCAAGACTTAGTAATATGTGTACATATTATGGTCTGGTTATATGGAGTGATTATATGTGATATGTTAGTCACAATGTTAATAATATAATGCTACCCAAGCACCTCAGGTAATATGTGTAGACAACAGAAGACTGTGCAATGAACTGTTTTGATGAGTCATTCCTAAAACAAGGATTATCTAGATGATGTCTTTGACATTACAAGACTATGTATTCTGCTGGGAATTTGCCTGTCCATCCTTTAAGGGCAGTTTTCTATCCTCGAGGGTGGCAATGTTCATTCTTATCGTGCAGCAACCATGGACAATGATGGCCTTTGGAAGTGCGGCTTGTATCTCCCAAGTATCAGTGGCAGGATCATAGCACTCCATGGTGTCATGTGGAGCTTTGCCCACGTCTGGCAGCCCCCCGATGGCGTACACCTTGTTCCCCTCCACCGCCGACCCATGTAAGGCCCGCGGGACGTGCATGTCCGCCACACGCTGGATGTTGTTTGTCCCCGGCTCGTACACGGTGCAGCTGCTGGAGAACCCCCCGATGATGTAAATGCTATCGTTCAGGACGGCTGTCGGGGCGGCCTTGTTGTCCACCAGCGGGGATTCGATGGAGGTCCAGATGCGTGTTTCTGGGGAGTAACACTGGATGAGGTGGGACTGCATGTTGCTGCCGTTGTTGGCCACCCCTCCAATCACGTACAGTTTCCCGCGGTGTGCGGCAACCGAGCAGCCAAACACGGCCTTCACCTGAGGAGGAATTTCTCAAAATCAGTGTCAGTTCTGGGCTCTGAATGTCCAAGTCTTATTAAAGTCCTTCATTAAAAAAATCAAGATTACAGTATCATTCAAGCTAAACTTTTCAGAATGTCCACACATCCTGAACTAGCATTCACTCAGTAAAGCTATGTCATCTACACATGCATGAATATGTAGCTAAATCATGACGCAAAGATGAAACCTGTCACAGGAGCAGTATGGTTTTCACTATGACATGTAGTTTGTCCTTCATTGTGAACTTACCAGTGGAGGGACATCCTCCCATCTGTTGGTCAGTGGGTCAAACCGCTCTACACTGTTGAGGATGGCACCAGATGCCTCACCTCCAACCTGGGATGGAAAACAAGAACAATGTATCTCTTCAAAATATATGGCATTGCTTGTACATCCATGTACATGCATATTTTAAGACTAGGAAATTCAGTTTTTTTAAGAATGATCATAACATTAGACAGCACAGCAGTTCTTTCATTTGTTTGTTTGTCTGCCTTTGTGTCTGTATTTGTACTTTACAACTTTATGCGTATGTTTGCTTGCATGTTTGATGTATTTGCAAACACACACGTACATGTATACACAAACAGTCAAACACACACAGTGACATATGTTAACATGGATGTAACTGTTGAAATCAGCTTTGGTCATAAACAGAATAATTAAAACCTTGTTACAGCAGTGCACATAAAAATGAGCTGAGGCCATGAATGTTAAGCCACAGATAATACCTTTCAAATTGGAAGAAGGAAAAGTTGACAAGATGAATCTCCAGCACTAAAACTATGATAAATGGTACCCCATAGTGAAATAAATTTAGAGTGAGATAGATCTCTTGTAATTAGGTTTTCCCTGGTGGGGCGGCAATCTGTCTCTAACGGATCAATGCTGATTGGATCAGTGGAATTTACGAACCTGTGAACGTTACAATACAGGGTAATGAGAATTCACAAAAACAACCTTCAGCATGCTATAAAAATGTAGAACCTGAATAGAGACACTGTTAGCTAATCAGGCACCATTGCTGGATAGAAGACTGTGTAGGGCAAGTGTATCCATTGTTGTTTGTACAGAAACTGTTCATAATTTCAATAAGTGACACATTCTGATACAGTCTTTTACAGTCTATGTGACATGGATGTAGCTCTTCATCTTATTTTGGTAACTTGCAGCCATTTACAATACAGATTTCACTTTCAGATAACTATTTTGTTTTAGTCTCATTAGCATATACTGTATTGTATAGGAAATTGTTTTTGTACACAAAGAGTACATGGGTTGAGAACTGACCACATATATACTGCCCTCCACCACAGCAGAGCCGTGTGCGTCCCTGGCCTGTCGCATGGGAGAGTCTTTGTTCCAGATCCCAGTACGGGACGAGTATTTCCACACCTCATCTGTAGACAACCCATTCAACATGCCGCCTGAAAGATGTGGAGAGAAAATTATTCTTGTCATTCTGCAAGATAGAATCATAGAACATAAAGCAAAAAGTGTCAAGAAATAGAAGGCCCTTACCACTGACATACACGTCATCATTCAGAGCCACCACACTTCTCATGACGTACTTGCTGGGAAGGTTAGGTAGGATGTACCACTCTTTGGACTCGGGATGGTAACATCGCACATCGTCCAGGTTAGACACCACTTTGTCTGAACTACCCACAATGAAGATGACCTCTGACCCCACACAGCTCCGTGGCTTGGTCCGCGGTGACTCCAGCCCCCTCCCCTCCATCTGCAGCAGGTGGAATCTCTTGGCTTCCTCCACCAGGGCGCGGCAGTTTTTGTCGTTCTGTATGATGGAGTCCCCTTCCACGGCGCTCAGGAGGTACGTGGGGCGGAGGAATGGAAAGCGGACTGCCGACAGCACCTCTGCAGAGAAGGCCTTACGAGATTTGAAGTCATGGCGGAGCCAGCGCGTGGCCGCCTCGAACACGGCTTCCTCGTGTTGGGCCTCCAAGTTGTCGTGAGACAAGTAGTTGACGATCTCTTCCTTCGACAGAGACAGCATTTCTTCCTGTCGAGCGACGGCTGCAAACTTCTGTAGAGCGTACCGCATTGACTTGCGATGTAGGTCCCGGCAACAGAGGGCATCTGCCAAGTTCACAATAGCCAACACATTGGAGGGGTCAAGGTTCTTCTCCAAAAATGTACCACAGGCATCACGCATCTTGGTGTACTGGAACATACAGGCTGCCTCCAGCAGGGCCTGTGCGTTAGCTTTGGTGATCTTGGCCCTTCCTGTGTAAGCAAAGTCTACGAGAAGTTTGATTCCTTCTGGCTGCACTTCCTCCAGCATGATCTTCTCCTGTTTGCTCTCCCTCATCTCGATGGAAAACATGGCGTTAAAGTACGGACTACTTGCCGCCAGGACGGCACGGTGGCAGGGAAACTCGTGTTTGTCTACGCACACCACAACATCTGTGAACTCGTTCTGGAGCCGCTGCTCGTTCAGTAAGCTCAGGATCTCCGAGGAGTGGGTATCGTCGAAGTAGTCAAACTCGCTATTGTTGTCAGGCAGGGGAGGGATCTTGTGATGAGGGGAGGGGGAGGGGACCTGTGACCCACCACTACTGGCTGGGCTGCCACTGCGACTGCTGCCTCGACTGAACATCCTTCTTCTCGGCTTGGTGTTCAGAAATCCTTGCCTGTATTCGGAAAAAAAAGAGTTACTGGTATTGCATCGGCCATTCGATAGCTATATGCAGTTGAATGCTAGGTATTTGTACATGTAACTCAAAATATACAGTCATGTATCAGGAAAATACATGTAATTGAATCATCAACATGAAATATTTCAGAATAACAAACAGTGTTTATAGAGGAACAAATTGACCAAACAAGAACAACAAATATGTACAGATCAAGTGATAGAATGGATCAAATCTAGTAATCACTCCACATGAGGTTGGTTACAGTGGAAGAGACATATCATATTAGCACAATATCACACATGAAACATGAACTATGTGATGTAGAGAACTTACAAAAATATTTCAGTAGTCTGTACAAACCTTGCAGCCGCCATGTTGACTTTCAAACAAGTACTTAGTCTACTGTCCAAAAATTGCTAGCGCTGAGCCACTCTAAATTAGGGTCCATACATGCAGACCTTCTGAGTCTGGCACCAAACCTGTCCTTCAGTATGACAGCACACAGCAGGTAGCTGCACCCATACACAAGGTGACTCTTCACAAGCATGGACAGCGCAACAATTTGTCAGCTCTGTCCCAACAAGAATGCAAACTGGATCCCCTAACACCACTGTGACCTTTATATGAATAGATTTCCCTCCTTCCATAAGCATGTTACAGTGACATTCTCATAGCTGGGTCTACATGGACATGGCAGTCCATCAACATATACTGGCAGTAACACAATTAAATGCAACATAATGACATTACTGTCTGCCTATGATAATGGATTATACATCAAGCCAGTCCAAAAGCTGATTGGAAAGGCAGAGACCCAGAATTTCTGACGAGCTGTCTCCCCTTGTGGATTGTGACGTAGAGAGGTAATGTAATAAGACTGATAACATGAGAAATTGATCAGGGCAGCCTACATGTATTGTACCAGCTCTAACCAACCTGCAACCTGTTACACACAAGGGGGTGAATTATCAACCAGTGTATTATATAAATACTACAACAAATGTTTCACAAGGCATCAAGATTGTTGCACTGGTTATTTGTGTTGAATAACTTTCCACTGGATTCTGTCTGCTGTCTATGATTGATGGATGGGCACTATCAAGTTAGCTTATTGTGTGCAATCAAGTAGTTTTTTATTTACCCTACTGGCCTCTGCCCAATATAAGATGCACTAGGGCAGAATACAGTATTGACACTCATCAGTAAACTTTCTTACACTGTTCTAGTTTTGAAATGTTTGGGGAAGGGGCATACTCAAAGTCAAAGGACTACTATGTGGACTACCATATGATTCTCCTACCCTAGTTTGCCAGGTCTGGTCTTGCCATCATTATCACCTACAGAAAGCACAAGTGTTATATTTGATGGCATCCATGATTTAAAAAATATAGGCTAACTTGCCATCAGGAGAAGACTGATCAGTGGTCGAAATACTTTTTTTTCAGTGTTCTGCAATATTGCAGAAGAGTCAAAATTTTGTTCTGCAATGTGGAAATACTTTCTGCAAATACACAAGCAAGCCTCTATACTACAATCTTGCAGGTTTATAAGCATGAACTATTGATTGATATGCAAATTAGTGAAGACAAATTTTTGGAAGTCCAAAAGGAAACAAAAGATAGACAAGTCAAGACAAGGTTGATGTAAATTAGTGAAGAAGTCCTGTTGTTTCAGAACAGGAGCTTAAGTGTTGTCTGTCCTTGGGGCCAAGAGCGCCAAATCCCAAGTGCCAATTTTTCCTGCTGCAAAATTGCAGATTGTATAAATTTTTCTTCTGTATAAATTTTTCTTCTGCAATCTTTGAAATCTATCTGCAGATTGCACACTGCAGACAGGTATTTCGAACACTGCTGATACATGATCTAGGACGATCTCCCTGTAAGGTCTGTGACCTTGCTGAATGCCAAATCAAGGTCGCCCCAGTGTCAACTGTTCTATTGACAACTGTGTACAGCCACATGAAGAAGGTCTCATTCTTGAGTTTTTGTTAACTATGGCCGCCTATGGCAAAATACGTAACTTTACATAGGCCAAAACCCTATAATTTGAATGACAGCCATCTAGTCTATCCAATCAATTTTGAGCACAATGGCCCTACATTACGTCAAAAAAATTCCCAACCAGATCTAACCCAACAATCTCTTTTTATTTAATTATAAACTGCACTTGGCCACTCTCCGCCAGAGGTCCTCCAGCGCTGCTACCTCCTGACCGCATTACCCATCACAACAGCGTGTAAACATCCGACCTGTCGCGCGGATGTCAACACTTACCCACTAATTTTAGCACATACAAACAACCTCTCATATCACAAGCGGTTTACGCCAACTGACTTAGCTAAAATGCAATTTCTGGCGGATATAAACACACATCCATACACGCATTTAATTTTTAGTACGATCTACTTGAGAGTACCCACGCGGAAGAATACCGAAATGAGACCTTAATAACCATTGATTATTAAGATTGTGTCTTAAATGAAAGAATAAACATCCCCTAACAATCTCTTAAAAGGACTTTGTCTCACGTCACTCCGTTACCAAGCAACGGGTCAATGAAGTTGCGTCAAAATTTGGATATGAGCAGCGCCACCTGGCAGTTTGGAGAAAAAGTACAACATATATCTTTAATTACCCTTATGACGTGTCGGAAACGGTAATTAATGTTTTTTTCGTACCGTTGGGTAGATTAATGTGTTCTGTATGAGATTGTTTACATATAAACCTTGGTAGACAGCAAGAGATAGATCTGAACGATGCTGATCATTTCGTGTATGCTGGCAAATGAGGCATAGCATCAGTAGCGACATTCAGGTGCATGTCGCATCAGGACAAGCCCATAAAAGCAAAGACATCGACATGACACAAACAACAGTAAAGCCAAACATATAAACTTGCTAAAATTTGAACCCGAGGTAAGAAGAAATAAGCGACATGCTGCTGATAGTGCATCTAGCGCACTATAAAAGTCAGCCTAGGCGGGAATGGGGAGTGGTTTATAGAGGTGACACAAGATCCTGGCTTACAAAAATGCGAGGCAACTTCAGTCAAGAGTACCCTTTTCTACTAGTTGAGAAGAATGAAGGCAAAAGAGGCCAAATTGACCGTAAACTATCACTCAGAAAAGGAAGGGGAATTCCAGACAGCGTTCTTAGCACAGAGCAAAGCAGAAACTTTTCCAATGAAAGTTACAGTAATGCTTTGGCATAATATATCCATTCTCACCTAAGTAGAAATCCACGAAATCTTTTATGATTTTGCAGTCTGGAAGTCTGGGGGATACAAATTCACCTCAGTTGTAACCTGTCGGGTGTTTTTCCGTTAGTTGGGGGGGGGGGGCGAGGGTAAGGATCCACCGCCCAAAAGTGGCGGGGGGGGGGTGGAGTGCGCCTCAGACTCAATGCGTGCATCCGTGCGTGTGTATGGGGGGGGGGTAACAATGGCACAAATTTCGGCCAGGTTAATCAAGCCACGTAATGGGTATTACTTTGGGGTGTAATCAGATAACCCTACTTGTCAGGCTTGCGATATTAGGTGGGTGGACAGTCAGGCTGCTGGCAAGGTTGTTTAAACATTCGTAGCGCGTGGGATTGACTTGCATTTGACGCTTTTCCTGAAAGCAAAGTGCACATATATATAATATTTGAATCTTTTCCTGTTCTGTGGTTCCTTAACTCTAGCCACAATTTCATATGAAGATCTAATATCCGTAATCGACGCTTCTAAGATTTACATGTGCTGTCCGTGAATTTGGGTTTACACGATTTCCATAAAATTTGCAAGCTTGCGCTTGTCAGTCCTTGCTTCATAGACGTCTTTCGCAACACTGGTAGTCAGGGAAATATCTTAAGTGTATGTATCATTGACTATGTCAGCTTTTCAAAACGTTATTTGACTGTAAATCTTTGTAAAACGGAGTAAGATGAAAGGACGGTGTGCATCAACCCCCGCAGAAATGGGCTCGTCCGTTGCCATGGCAACGGGCGTGGTTACGCAATGCAACGTTCGCTGAAAAATCGGACATTAAATCCTGGGCAAACATTGTTCAAAAATTGGGACCTTAGCACTAATCGTTGATTTTTGGTGAATATTTTTCATTTCTATTAAGGTCTCATTCTTGAGTTTTTGTTAACTATGGCCGCCTATGGCAAAATACGTAACTTTACATAGGCCAAAACCCTATAATTTGAATGACAGCCATCTAGTCTATCCAATCAATTTTGAGCACAATGGCCCTACATTACGTCAAAAAATTCCCAACCAGATCTAACCCAACAATCTCTTTTTATTTAATTATAAACTGCACTTGGCCACTCTCCGCCAGAGGTCCTCCAGCGCTGCTACCTCCTGACCGCATTACCCATCACAACAGCGTGTAAACATCCGACCTGTCGCGCGGATGTCAACACTTACCCACTAATTTAGCACATACAAACAACCTCTCATATCACAAGCGGTTTACGCCAACTGACTTAGCTAAAATGCAATTTCTGGCGGATATAAACACACATCCATACACGCATTTAATTTTTAGTACGATCTACTTGAGAGTACCCACGCGGAAGAATACCGAAATGAGACCAGAACAGGGCCAGCTGGAGGGGACATTTATCTACATGTCACAGTCACAGCCAACAGGAAGCCAGTACACATAACTGTACATGGCAAGGACATATATGGGTATACAATTAAACACTGTTGTACATGTGTACTTAACAATCAATATGTAAAACGCATGTGTGCATGCACACACGTACATACACACACACACATTGACATTACCTGTATGTCACTATGTGTGATGAGCAGAATATTGCTGTTTTGTGTACCCTCTGGTACTACATGTATATGTACATGTACCACCTGTAGAAAGACTACTCCCCAATATAATACAGGTAGGCACTGTCTGTTTCCGGTAAAACCAGTCATCCCCCAAGGCCATTCCTCAACCCCTGACTAAGACTTCAGGAATGCAACCAACTCACAATGTTGTTGTTTTAGCTTTTCCTGATGTTATCATTTCTACTTCTTATAAGGGCCTTATAAGTTAGAAATTAATTATTCCCTCAAACACTTATAGCTTATAATTATATGCACCATAGCAAATGTTTTATGTACATACAGGTGTAGATGTAGAAATTAACTTGTCATAACAAGTAAATGATTCTTATGTGAATAATTGAATATATTAAATCACAACACAAAGGATCTTGAACCCAGACATGGAAGGAGTGCAGACAGTATCATCAGATCAATAGTCTCCGCTATAAAGTAATAAACCACAAATTGTACCAGTTCCAGCTTGGTTCACTGATTATTCTGAGTGATAACAGGCATATGTTAAGAGTTAACATGTGACCAGTACATTTTGCCCCCCCCCCACCAAGAAAAACAAAACGTGTATGTCTTAATCTCAATTTGTAACTGATTTACATGCAGGCATGCTGCAGAACTTCCCCATTATTGTTAATATTAATTTTTCAAGACAAAAATTATAAACCATGAATTTAACAAACTTCATAATTCGACAGTCACTGGGATCTTATCCCAAATAGAATTACATGACTTTTTCATGCAAATGATTTATAACACCTTTCAGTATCTTATTGAGCCAAGCAGATATGACTGCATATTGATAAAGGGCAGACTTTATCTTAGTAGACTACATAAATAAAATATGACTCTTGCAAGCTGCCATGTTGTTTGGGTTTTTGGAAGGATAGGCCTGAAGCCAGAACAGCTAAAGCCTGTCTCTTTCGCCCTCTCTGCAAATTTTGACAGAATCTTGGTAGCAAAAACAGGTTTGGACAGCAGGCTAAGTGTACAGCTGAGACTCATTATCAGCTCAGCTACAGGAGGTCAGCAAAGGACAGGACCTGGATCACACAGCATGTTGTGCTACTGGTAAGAATCTAAAACATCTGACTTGATAATACCACTAATCTCTGGAGATGTACCAAAATACATGTACATGTATGGCCTGCCAATGTGATTTGTTTATTGAGATTTATAGTTCAACTGTTTGAGCTGTACAATGATGAATGGCTAGCTCGTTTCATTCTTTATTGTTTCTAGTACTACTACTAGTACTAGTCTCTAGTACACGGTAGTAATTCCAGATTTTTTGTTCAAAATTAAGCAAAAATCAATGCTCGAGTGGATGACATCCACAATATTTACTTGTTGTGGCCTTATCATTACATGTAAAAATGCCTCTGTATATCTAACATGCAGTAATGAGTGAACGCCTTCAGAATGCATTTTCCACATGCGTGTGACAAGAACCAGCATACTGTGTTAATTGTGTCACATGAGAAGATGTTTCTCCTCTTACAAAAACACAGGGTTATCTTCTAGATCAGCATGTCATCCTGTGGCACAGAAACTAACCCCATGGGTAGATAGAATTACAATACATGTATACATGATGTGCAATCATTTTAATAATCATATAGTATACACAAAAACCAACCCTTTCTTTTTTCCAATTCAGATATCCTGACATGCATCTGACCATGGGAATGATAAAGTTTGGCATATTTATTACTAAACCAAGAAGTAAGTGTGGATCCAGACCAGACCCCAGTGTGACATGATACTCCCTTCACACTGGGGAAGCCCCCCCCCCCCTCCTCCATCCCAGGCACCCACCATCATCCCAGGTCCAATTTATCATATCTCTCCTGCAGGGTCTAACCTGGGGCCTGTGGTAAAATTTAAAGGAGCCAAGGTCTGACAAGGAGCTAAAAGTCCTGGCAACAGTTTGTCACCCAGGTTAACAAAGAAGAATCTGGTAGGGAGAGTTGAAAAAAAGTGCTTTCAATGATGATGATGAATCTCTATTGCATATTCATGCCTAGGTGGGCTAAATGCACAGGTGACCAAAAGAAATCTAGAGATACTGAACTGCTGCATTCTAAAGCCAACAGCTAAGTTCTAAAAATAAAAGTCTATATACAACAACAAAACAATATACTAATCATCTACTGTTAATCACCATTTCTTCCCTCTTTCAGAAGCATCTGGAAACATAAGTACATAATTTGTCTAATATACATTTGTTCTTTTTCTAATGAAGTTTTATAATTATGGACTGGAGTCTTTTTATAATGCATGTCATGCAACCTTAAGTGGCACCTTTGAAGAAGGCCAAAATTATCTGATTCTCTATTTCTTCACAGGATGTATCAGTTGCTACATATTCGTTCACCTGGATATGGTGGAGAGGGTAAAAATCCCAACAATTTTGCTTCACACTTTTATAATACTCTGTCAGATACAATGTCCGTTGACCATATGTATAGCATTATGTTAGACACATACCAACTAGTAATTTTATTATTTGCCATACATTGTACCCGTGACAATCGTTGTGCAATAAACTTTGACTTGACTTGTTTTATGTAAATCTACCGTGAAACACATTAGCATTTACTGACCACAGGAGGAGCAGCTGCTTATCAATTTCTAGACTGGAGTCCAAAATTTAATTTGAAAAAAAAAAGTGAATAAAGGGTTAAAGACTTATGTAACATAAGCAATCATTATTTCCATTTACATCAACTAAAGACTGAGTACTAGGCATATGCAATTATTGGTAGGCAAATCACCCAACTATCTGTACCTGTACCACCCACTTTTTGTGCACCGCCCCTAGGCTGTGACATCATCATGGTGATGGGTTATCTTCAAAGTTTGTCCCACCATCAGTGGGCCAGGACAATGTAAATTCAGCTTTTGATACAGGCCATGCCAGAGCCGCCAGATGAATTTCCATGGAGAAAATACACTGGACTGGTGCAACTCGTGTATTGAATAACCACATGTCCTGTATGTGTATTGGGTAACCACATGTCCTGCAGATGCAAATCCCATAATTTATCATCTGTATGTTCCAAAGGTAAAAGATGTAGAAAAGAAAAGCTGAGAGGTGATGCAGCCAGAACTTACAGTCTGGGACACAAAACGTAGAACTTGCCTGGTTCCTCACTCAATCTGGACAATCCGACATGTCAACAAATTAAAAGAAAATGACACAACATTACAATCAACGCCCAACAGGATTTATAAACTTTTACAGATTCATATTGCTCTAGATCTTACCTAGTCCGTCTAGGCCCGTCGCTCTTTGTCCTTCAAGTAGCAACCAGGAGCTAGAGAAGAGTCAGCAGCTCCACTGTGATACAGTGTACATCACCAAGGCACCATTCGCTGTTCAACGCACATTCTCCTTGCATACTCGGAAATCTTCTACCACTAGCCAGAACGTCAATATCTTCATGTAAAGTGAAGTCCTTTTGTATCGGCTGCACTCTTAGGGCTCAAAGTCAAATATTGGGTACGAAACTAAACTGAAACCCAAACCTCACTTGCAGAACCGCCATATGCAATTCCCATCATGCACCCCGTCCAAGATAAGCCATTTTTCTAAAATGGAGGGATGTTTGAAAAGCGAGATTTACGTCCAAAATTTGTAACTTTCTATAATATAACAACTAATAATATGATATAATACCGGGATATCTACAGGTTTTAAATCGTTCTGGTGATAAAATCGGTTTGATAAAAATTCTTAACAAATTTGGAACACCCCTCTCTTTGTTGTGGGCACGTCGTCAGGTGCATCATCATATGACCAAGTGTCATGGCCGACTTCTGATACTCTCAGGCGGAGTCCAGCCAAATTTTCCTCGCGATTTCATACGGAAAGCTACCTGTTTGTCAACATAAGAAAGGAATAGGTGAGGTATCTTTTGCTTTATACATACGATATCTTTTCATGGGCACACATGAAAAGAACGACAGATTTTGAAGGAAGGAAGGAAGGTCTGTGACCTGCACTTCCTATATTTATCTGTAGTAAACATAATTGATTCCATCAAGGTTCTTGTTACAGCAAAGTAATGTTTATGCAAATTGATTCACGGTCAAAATCCAGGTCTTCGGTCGAAGTATTTGAAATATATGTACCCGTTGATTTAGAATTGGTGAAGACCGGTCAGCTGATGGCTGTAAACTATTGACCGAATATTCCCTTAGTCAGGTTTACAATCCTTCATTTATCTGAATTTACCTGAACTGCAGAGATTGTATCTCTGCAGTCAGGACCTTGATGGCGGGTAGCCTCTATTAGCTCCTCCATCAAACCCGGTCTTGATATTGTTAATTTGCCTTTCATTTATGGAGAGGGCGACTTGTCAGGGGTTTCCTCAAAATAAAACATGGATGAGAGTAGGCCTTCACCTGTAGCATCACACTCTTAGCACTCCTGGTACTTCCTCTGCATGTAACAGGCCAATCACTTCGTTAGACAGTCTGGGGTCACGTGGTGAGAGCACGTGACCCAGACGCGTCATTGGCCGAGCCTGACCATGCCTCCGCCATGCAGATGTCGCTCCGCCCTTCCGCGCGCACTATAAGATAGCGGGACGCTTTGGCTTTGGCATTACTTAGAGTGAGAGTCTAAGGATTCGTATCTGTAACCGTAATCGTAACTGTAATCGTAACTGTAATCGTAACTTTAGCCCAAATCCTACCCACACAGAAAGAACGTTTGTTACATTCACTGACTGACCTGGTTTCTCTTTGGGACCTCATTCTAGGGATTTCATCACACTCATTGTGATGTCATTCCCAAACAAGAATAATAAAAATGGGCGTTATCTATTCTTAAAAATGGAAGTTCAATGTTCGATCCTGGATCGCATAAATTTTTTCGTTTAACTATTAAATGACTGTCAAATAACCACTTACTAGTAACAGAATGAGCTAACAGAATGGTTAACAAAATGGAAAGCAGAAAATCTTTGTTGGGTAACAAACTTTACTGTCCATCACATCACAAGATATTTGTTACAAGAAGTTGAACATTATACCTACATGTTTTTATATCACATGTTGTGGAAGGACTAACTTGTATAAGTGTCTGCTTAAAAGGACACAAGAGGTTCGATAAATCTGTCATTATTTCATGCATGGTCTGTCTGAAAAGTGATTCCTACACTTACATTAATTCATTGTAGTTTAGAGCGCTGCCAGCAGTTTGACATACCATGCATGACATTATGATAGATTTTATTGAACCTCTGATATTGTGTCTCTTTAAGGTCATGCCACGCCCCATGCCCTTTGCCCAGCATACAACTGATTAACTGGATTTGGTAGGAAATGGTAATTGATGGCACAGAAAATACATGTAGTTGTACATATTGATTATTTTTTGTTTGTACATGTATTAAAAGTAAATTACTTAAATTCAAGTATTCTTGTTATTTACATTTCTTGATGGCTGGCATGTAGCAAAGTTTTACATGTAATTTGAGCTTCAAGCTCCAGTCAGTTTAGCAACTCTCTCATTTGTTTATTTATCAGTAATTAGTTTGTAAATACTGAATTTCTAGGTCAGGAGGTTTTGCACTACAGTGCTGATTTACATGTACATTGGGAATGTTACAGAAAGGGATGTCCTATAAAAACATTTTAACTATTTACTTAATGAGTATATAATATACTTACTTAGTACTATAGATGGAACCAGTATCAATTACTGCACCAACTTGGGTAACTGAGGAACTGAGTGACTGGCTAAAGAAAACTGTATAGTCAAGTTAACTGTTGTCACAAGGCCACATAAAGCTAGGCTTGATTTTTATTTTTATGCTTTTTTTTTGCTTTTTTTGTTTGTTTGAAGTGACTAAAGCCAGACGATGAACCGGGGAGAGTTTGGTGCGTACGGTTCGGTGGAGACGGGTGGGTTTGACCGGAGAGATGAGCGATACGGCGTACCCAGGGGTGCCGGGTACCAGGATAATGGCTCCAATGATGTCAACCGTCTGTGTGAGCTGACAAGCACCAACATCTTTACCATCTCCAACAATGGTGGGTCATGTGTTGTTATTAAGAAGCTGCAGTTCTTGGTTCATTCAATAGGTGGCAGGTGTGCACTAGACTGGTAACCTATATAATATGCATCTGTGTAATATGTATATAACGTACTCGTACGTAGGTTTTTGTATACAAACTGTGAAATCATGATTGGAAAACAGGAGCTTAAATCTAAGACTTTAGTATTAGTATATAATTGAATCATGTCCTTTAAAATGTCCTTTTATGTGGGTCAGTTAATCAAGTACTAGTAGTTCCTGTTGTTAGATTGCTCTCTGCATAACTGTAATTAAGGAAAAATTTATGCTAAGTAGAAACTAGGAATACTCATAATCAGAGCAGGTACTTCCTTATTGTCTCCTAACTTCTGTATTTGTGACTTCCCAGCCTCCTCCTTGGAGAAAACCCTAAAGCAGATCGGGTCAGCCAATGACAGCCATCAGCTCAGGGACAGAGTGTGAGTCACAGGACATGTTTTTGAGTCCCTGCATTAAAGGACAATGTTGTATTGAATAGAACAAGTTTTGAAGATACTACTAATATATGTCTAGACTCTGGAGTGTAATATCTTATGTCAAAGATGCCTTCTGGCTCAGCCATATGAGTAGTGAGTAATCTGATTAATTCAGACATGACCATTTTAGTATTTTTTTTACTACTATATGGTCTATAATACTGTTTGATTATGTATCTACCTGCTGGGTTTCCTTCAGCCACAATATGCAGCAGCAGACCAACCTGTTAGTGAGTGAGACTGCCAGGTGCTTGAAGCAGCTGTCACAGATGACAAGGGGGGCTCCTAAGGTAGGGAAAGATCAAGTTCAAAGCTATTGAACCGTTGTATACATGACTGTAGTACTACATGGTAGTTTGACATTTTTAGTATACATAGCATGGATACCAGTCTTGTTTAGCTTTAATCTGCTCCCCAAGATCTGTTACCCTGCCAATATACATGTAATTTATCCTACCATTTTTCTCAAAAGTATGACTTAAACTGCATGAGCCACTCCAAAATGGACTCGTAGAAAGATCCTCTCATAGCTCTCATTTGTGGCTATAGGTATCATACTATTCATAGGCAAAGAATTCAACTTCACATGCTGGCATTTCAAAGATACTGGCACATTGGTAAGGGACCTCTAATTCTTTACAGGCAGCTCCATTGTACATGTCTATGACTTTCTTTCACAGCCACAGAAGCTACAAGTGGACAGATTAAGTAACGAGTTCAAGCAGAGTGTACAGAGATATGGAATCATTCAGAAGGTACCTGTAACAATAATGCTATTTTTATCATAGAAGCCTCATATGTTGGTCAAGATTTGAACCAACACTACAGTATATGCAACACATGTAAAGTATAGGTGGATCACCTGTGAAGAAGAAAATAAAACTGATTCTGTAGTGCTAAATTTTGGTTCAAGTTAATTCTACAATGGTGTAATACATGTAGCACATTTTGCTGACATTTTGCTATCATTATGATAAGTATTATGCTCATAACCATACTTCTGGATTTTTAAGTTTCAAATGTATTTCATTTCAAGTTATTTGATCATATCAGTGCACTAATGTGCTTTAAGACATAAACATTTTTTCTTATTCCTTTTTGGTGACCAGAGAGTAGCAGAGCAGTCCAGAATGAGTGTGGACAGCATTAGGAGTCCCAGCAGGGCATCACAGGTGACTCTGACATGTATCATGAGCTCCCCCTAGTGAGCTGTATGTGCATAGCAGCTGTCTGTAGCATAAAGATATTGAACATAATGTTGCAAAGCCTGAATTAAAAACCTTAAAGAAGCTATGTTTGACTTTGAAATCTTATAGTGTTATGAATGAGATGTGAAAACTTCTATGGACTTATCCTTCTTTTATTTTCATTCCTGCAAACTTTGGACGACCAAACATACCGGTAGGGAGGAAAGAAGGTACTTGTATTCTAAAGCTGCTCCAGCATATAAACATTTTCCTGCTGGTGTTGCCTTGGGCAATTGGTACCATGAAACTTCTATGAAAGAATGTTGATTGCATGCATTGCCCTGCATGGCTAAGTGCATTGTTGACCATATTATGGATATCATAAAATGGAGTGGTTGTATGACTAACAGATAAATAAATCAAATGAATGCAGAAAAGTAAAGAGCAAACAGTGGTAATAACAAACCAATAATGGGTACAAAATGACATGTTGACCAGTGTACAAACTTTAGTGCAAGGCATTAAAGATATTCAAATGTAGCTTCTCATAATATAATTACATATTTATCACACTAGTTAGATTGTAATGATGAAGACAGTCATCATGGAGAGGCTTGATAATAATATAATACTGGAATAATTCAATATTATATTCTAATTTAAACATAATTGTTTGGAATACAAGTTTGTCAATGTTTTCAAGATTATAATGATATTTCCTTAATCAACTATTAATACATACGAGAGCTGCAAGACAGAGTAGGAAACATTACACTAGGTCTTTACAGTCAGTAAGCCTCCACTTCTGCTGCCCTGTGTTAGCCTATAGCTAGGGATGGAGCATGAAATGATGGCCACAATATCAATAAACAATGTCAACAGAAGTTCCAAATGTACCCCAGGGTAATCACCAAGTCATTCCATCGTAAATCCAAGCAATAAAGTGGTTCTGTGCGGACGATAAAACAGGGAAACTGCCAGCTACACAGAAATTTTACTGTAGGGGTAACGACGTTACAGAGAATGGAATGATACAGATAGCACATTGCCTTTTGACCGCAGTCTCACTACAGCAATATTTGCGCGAGGAAGCAGACACACTAGGAAGCAGTTTTAGTTTTGTAGAGATAGTCCATGATGGTCAGGGTAGTTAATATTGCTAATCTCTACAAAGCTCAGATGGCAATGATGGAATACGTTTCTGTTTTGAGCCAGATGCAGGAATTACATTTTGTACCGTCAACCTTCCTCCATGTTTGCTACATAAAGTTGATGCACATTAAAGTGCCATTCAATCTCTCTTTGCTATTTTTGAAGGCAATGAAATCAGGCAATTCCAGCAAGAAGAGATATTGTCAACACCCATCGGCTAATAGAAGTGGATATACCTTTATTGTATGTAGGACATTTTAAACATTCTCCCTGCTGTCTAATCCTGTAACTAAAACAAATTTGGTGCCAAATGGCTACCTTAGCAGGGAGAATTAAAATAGGAAAAAATGAACAAGACATGCTTAGTGTGACATGCTTAGTATCACTTTGACTGTTATACTCGAAATGTAATGTAGAATAATATTTTGCTCTAAGATGTAAAGGCATTAACTGCTGCTGATTTGTAAACCAAAAGTCAACAAAATATTCCCCTTTCATCTACCCTGGCGGCAACTTCGCTGATTTTTAGCTACAACTGCAACACGGTTGTTAAATATGGTCACTTTAATGTTGTTGCCTCAGGAGCTTGTGTACCATAATGGCTTATGGAGCACATCAATACTTTAATTTTAAGGCACTGCCGGTATCTAGCCTGGAGGTTTTAACCTTAGCATGAGTGTTCCTGAGATTTGTCATGCTTACATGTACATATACTGAAGTCTTACGGTTGAGTACTTATTTTTGCCTGAGAGGTAGACTGTATGTATGAAGTTAAAGGCTGTCTTATTTCCTCACTTCCTTTTGTTAATGCCTATTTCAAAATTGCTTTCAGTTTAGTGGGATAAAGGCAAAGAAAGTGTTTAAGAGAGTATTATGGGATGATACCAAATACAGGGTATAAGATAGTAGTACTAGTAAGATAAGGTTTAACATTGTGATTGTCACATCCAGTCTGCCACCAAGTTCCCATCCTATCAGGGCTTGAAATATCACCTGCGTATGCACGTTAGCACAGGTAAAATTGGAGCTGAGCTACAATGTATGCAGGTATTTCTGATGTCTACCTGCATCTAATCTGCACTGGCTAATTTTTCAATGAATGTCATCTTCATCATGACTGGTTCACTGTGCATTGAAGCTAGGTTTTACTGCTAACTATGTGGTCCCAAACCTTAAGTCATTCTGACATACATATGTAAATATTGGTAAAACAAGAGTGAGATATGCAGTTCCAAATGTAAGGTATTGTTATATATTATGATATAATTATTTAACCCACAATGGTGATGTGGTGTCCCCAGCAGGGTTTCCTGGATGATGACTATGGAGATGAGTCCACCAGCCTGCTGGAGGAGGAGCAGCAGCGCAGGAGGGTGGAGGAGCTCCAGAGACAGGAACAGGTCATCGACTTCGAGGGCGACATCATCAGGGAGAGGGAGGAGAGAATACGGGAGATAGAGGTACGCAAGGGCAAAACAAACATTCTTAGTCTCCAGAGGATAAAAACACAATGAAATACCATGCACCCAGACTTTTGTATCATCATGACTGAAAGATACACTTTTCACCAGACAATAGTGCTATGCCGCCCTTGTCTGGACATGACTGGAAAGAGTTGCATCATCCTTTTGGATGAGGAATGTAAAACCAGCGGCCCCATGCATTTTCGAACCAAAGTGATGTATTAATATGTAGATTCCAATATGATTGTAATTTGTATTTCCCTACTATTAATAATTTATGTTGTAAACAACTTGATCAGAATTCAGCCCTGTATGTCAAGGCTGCGAGATATGCTGTTGATATGTTGATACAAAAAAATAAACCAATAAATAAATGTATGGGGGAGTTTGTTATGGTGTCAACCCTCTACATGTAAAAGAACCCATCACTCTCATCAAAAGAACCAAACACACATCTTAAGAAAAGTAGGGTACCAGGTGTGCTTGGCTTGAAAAAGCACCATGCTTCACCTCAGTTGATGATGACAAAAGATATACTAGTAGATGAAGAGAAGTTTAAAAGGTTTGAAAAATACTAGATATTACCTGGATAGCTAACCTTCATCGATTCGACATACTAAAAATTTGATTTCACTAATGATATAAGTATGGCCATGTCCACCAGGAGGTATGGTCCTGTGGGCTATGTCTGTGGGGGTTCAGATCAAAAACTAGACCAGCAAACCCTCATCTAGGCAACAACCTGTTGTTTGGTGATAAAATTGATCAGAAAAAGTTTCCCAGCAGGAGGTTAGAAATGACCTATTGTACACATGTGTATCTGCTGTGCAGTAATGAGAACTGCTGATCCCATCTGTCATCATCACCCCTCGGGGGGTTTCAGTCAGGATTCTGTATTGACTTTATTTGGAAGGACTTGTCCATTAATCACCTCAACCCCCTGAAGACATCCCATTCTATCTTAATGATTGTGCATCATACCTTAGATACAGGCATATAACAAAATAAATCAAATGTAATGAGATAGGACAATGTTGATGTATAAAGTTAACAATGTGATAGATATAGGAAACAAGTAGGAGAAAAGTTGAACAACTTTTGCTATATATTATCAGTCTCTCAAACAAAGTTACTCTCACTGAAGAATTTAAATGCACCACGTATGCGCTCACCTTGGCTGGCAAACTGTTCCCATCGATCATACAGTATCCTTCTTTGAAACCTAGCCATGCAGTCAATCAGAGATGGGAGTGCTTATGTCCTAAAGCACAGAGATACAATGTATCTGCTAAAACTCTTTCTCCAAAATGACATCAGACAAGCAGATCTAGACAGTGCATAGGGTCGATTTTTTTCTTCTGCCAGAAAAGTTAGATGGATCTGACTGAAATCTGTTACAGTAGAGAAAGCATTTAAATCATTTCACAGTCAGTTGCAATCAGTACAGCAAAGGAAAGTTCACATACACTTCAGAAACTATACCCAGTGCATGGAAGGTTAGGTGCAAGCAATTAAGGCAAATATAGCAAATGCAGCTAAAATTTTACCTGTACTAACCTGCAAATGTAGAGGGTGTTTTTAATCCTGGTTAATGAATAAACAGTGACTCTCTATATCTGTTTCACTGCAATTAAATCACTGAGCTGTCGGGTATTCATTACATCTTCTACATCATTCTGTCCCAATAATTATATTCCAAAGTCATT